ATGAGTATAAATCTATAATTCAGATAGAATTCATCATCTGCAAAGAGCCAGGGAAAGAATTCAACTTTTGGCCTGAAAACCAACTGACTGCAAAAAGAAGAGGGCCCAAAGCTAGAGCCTCGAGTTCCCCAGTATTTAATTCAAAGATGTAGAAGGACCAATGAAAGAAGCCAAGAGGGACTTCCACTGTGGCCTAAAGGAAAACAGAAAAAGAAGCAAAAACCATTATTCCCTGAGTGGGGTGTGATCCCCAGACTCATGATCATAGAGAAGCCAACCACAGATAGTGCCAAAGGGAGCCTTCTGGCGGGAGGGGAAGATCCCGATTGCCATCAAATCGCAGAGGTCGGGAACTCGACCAGAGCTTCGTCCAGGTTCCAGCAAACAGAAACTGTCCTTCTCGGAGCTCGATTTAGCAAGGAAAGGGGAGCTAGACTGACATCTCCTGGGGGAGGGTGGTGCAGGAGAAGGAATCCCCCCCACATCCTGTAACACTTCAGCCTCTTGCTAGGAAAGGAAAGAGAAATGAAGTAGGTGAAGGTGGGGGTGGAAGAGGTGAAGGTGAACATGAGCAGTGGATGTCACCTCAAGGGTCGATCCAAAACCGGAAGTGCACCTGGGCTATAGGGTATAGGCTTAGATACCTCAGCTCCGCAAGGCTTGAGATATTTGTCTTGGTGTGTATAATGGTATCAATGTTTGCGATAAAGAAAGACACTTTTCTGTTTATTTTGGGTGACAATCCATACAGAAAGTGATGGTATCTGCTGGACTTGAGACTCTGTGTCATCCAAAGATTTAGAAGAGGGGAGTACATTCTTATTGAAAACTGATATTTTCTTTTAAGTAGTCCTATGCAACTGTATAACTGCAGTCACTTGTGCAGAGTCTAATGGAAAATGGGTAGCACTGGCTTTGGCACCTGGACATGGGGACTTTGGTGGTGTTTCCCCAAGGATGTAGATTTCTTATTCTTTGTAACCACCATGGTTTTATATTATTTTAGATTTTAATTTTAAGAAAATGTCCTTGAGACCAAGCCATATTTACACACACACACACACACACACACACACACACACACACACACACACACACACCACGAGATGAGTACCAATAAACTTACTTCCACAAGCAACTAAAAATAGACCAGTAAAGAAAGACAATTGTGATTACTGTTTGAATGCTGCAAATCTGGGAGGTGATGGCTCTGAGAAACAACCATTGACACTAAATTTGTCAAAACCCACGTGATGGAGATGGAGGAATCTAGTGTTTTGAATTGCTTCTACGCAATGCTAAAGTTCAAAAAGAGATCTTAAAATTTTGACATATAGCAGACGGAGATTCCCAAGGGATTTGAACATGCTTGAATAAAATGTCAGTTCCTTCCGAAAACAAGCCTGAGCCATTTCCTTATAATGGATCGTGTCTTGGGTTTCTCTGTCTGGAGTGCCACCATGGAGAAGGCAGGGCACAAACTGTGCTTGTAGGTGAGCTCGGCAGTTCAGAGGAGCCTATTTGAAGTGCAGGGTTTCTGATAATCCCTAGGAAATTTGAAAGCATTAACCACTATTTATAATGTCTGAATAACCCAAGTTAATAATTGTATGTGACAGACATGATAAAAGTGGAACCATAAATGAATCTGAGAATAAAACATTATGACTTCTAAAATTCACCCCATTAATCTATTTTGCTTGCTTAGCCTGACCTGGTCATTAGACAGGAGAGAGACATGAGATATTTTAATTAGTCCTTATTCTGTATTTACACACTTTCCCCTTTATACTTTTTCTTTTTTGAGATTATAATATAGTTATAACATTTCTCCTTTTCCTTTCCTCCACCCAAACCCTCTTAGAAGCCCCTCCCCCACTTGCCTTCAAAGTCACAGGCTCTATTTTTTTCACTGTTATTGCATGGGTTAGAGAGGTAGCTCAATGGTTAAGAGTGTATTATTCTTCCAAGGGACGTGAGTTCAATTCCTAGCACCTACACCAGGTTGCTTATAACCACTTATAATGCAAGTTCAAAGAAATGACATCTTTTTCTGGTCTTCATTGGCACCTGTGTACGGACAAACAGATACACAGATGCACACACACGATTAAAATAAATAAAATAGATCAAGTACGTCTTTAAACACAAACAAGAGAGAAAATTCCAGTTTTCCTGTTGAGCTAAGGTCCTCAATGGGATTAGATGCCCTTATACAGCCAACTGTTTCCATGATAAAGTTTATAGTAATTTACTGAAGACTCCCCACTCCACTTGGCCAGCCATGTTGTTTGAATTTTGACCATTGTAAGTTACATGTGGGAAGGCAGTGAGCAGATGTCCAAATGATTTAAAAAAAATATCACTCAGAAGGGGCAAGTTCTAAAGATCTATTATACAGTTTGGGCACTGCAGCTAGTGACAATATATTCTATTCTTGAAAAAAAATGACATTTAAGATATTCCGTATGTGATTAGCTTGATTTACTCATTCTAAAATGCATATAAGTTAAAATATCATGTATTTTATATACTTAATATATATAACATATATTTATTGTTAGAGCTTAGATATATAAATTAATTAATTAGAGCTACTTAATTATTTTGTAATTGCTAGATTCATTCCTAAGTCTTTGCTCTTAATCCCTCAATTACTATCAAATAAATTCTTGGGGCCAAAGACAATGAAATTTAAAGTTTTTTATTTACTCTGTCAAGATGACCTGGAAAACAGATTTCTCAACTCCTGTCAGCAGCATGGGAAATTGGATTTTCCCAGAAGGCATTGACAATGTTTTCTGATTAAATTTTTGGCCATTTGGTAGATGAAACTGTCTCACTATTTGTTTCAGTTTATATTCATTTTATACAATGTGCTGACTCTCTTTTCATATATGTATACTGTTCACACGAGTGTATGGTTTTGTATTCTTTTGAGCATTCTCAATCATGCCTTTATTATTCTGTTGGGTTATATGAAGCTATGGGTCTTTACATCCTACCAAAAACTGAAGGTAAAGGCACCAGAGCATGGACTACATTTTCCCCCATGTGTGTGATCATCGTGGCTCAGGTGCCCCAGGCCGTTCATACATAGGCCTCTTGTTCACTGTGGGCTTTCTCCTCGCGGACATGTGCAGAGGTCTCACAGTGATGAGGAACAGCGAATCCAACTCCAAGCAGAAAGGAATTTAGCTTTTAACAAATCTCGGGGACCCGAGACTGCACAATTCTGCCTTCTGTCAACAACCGCACACTAATTACCAGAGGTTCGAGTTACAAAGAAAATCTGTGTTTAATCCAACTCAGAACAGGCGGCTCATTTCCGCAACGTTTCTGTAACCTTATTAAATAAATGAAAAGCCTGAAGCAGGCAAGAGTTAGATCTCTACCATTAATGCATAGCTGTCGGAAAAGGCCTACAATGTGTGTGTATGCGTGTGTGTGTGTGTGTGTGTGTGTGTGTGTGTGTGTGTGTGGTGTTTACTCACAAATGGATAGAGACAAGGGTTGGTGTAGTTCTTTTTTTATTAAGTTGGAAGTGGTTTGTGTATAAGATGGCCTTATTAGCCTTTTTGTTTCTGTGAATATATAGAAGGTAATGCCTTGCAAATGTTTTTCTCAGTTTCTTATCACTTCCAATATTTTTTGATATGAAAAGTTTATAAGAAATGGTTAAATATACCCATTTTAATGATACTTGTGGCTTCCTTTAGCTTGGAAATAGTCACATTTTCAAACCTGCTGCATCTTTTTAAACATTTAATATGTTTCAATTTTTAATGTACCGTGTGGTGTAGTAATTTATTTTCTATCTATTCAGCCCACTTTTTTCAACATCATTCAATTTAATTAGGGAATACTTGATGACGTCTAAGTGAAAAGTCAATTCAGAGTTTTGTTGTTAACTTTGAAAAAAGATGAAATAGGATTGCTAAGATCTGTAAATAGTTTGAAGACACTAAATTCTGGTTTGGTAGTTTCTTAACAGTCTTATAGTACCAACTATAATCTGCATTTTTTATAATTCACAATTGTTCACTAACTGTAATTTATAACCTTTAAAATACATAGTAAAAACAGCATATTTAATAGATTTATGGACATTAGATGCCATGTCAAAAGTGGTTATGAAAATCTATTTTATGTTGGTAATTATTTTAAAATAATGCATTAAATATATTCTTGAATATTCTTATATAAAATATTTTGAGAGATTTTTTTAAGGAATAATATATTTTTTCAATTGAGCTGTCTGGGCTTAGCGATGCTGGGCTGTTCAAAGATGATACAGAAGGCAGGGCAGGCAGATGAAATAGATTGCTGAACTACGCACAGGAGTGAGAGAGTAACAAAGAGGCAGAAACAGACAGGTTTTCCAGCCTTGCTAAGCCTGAACAGGCTGTGAGAAGGTAGTAGTAAAGTAAGTAGTGTATGCTCATTCAAAAAATAACAAACAGACAAACAGACAGATAGACGCTTGGAAAGGATGGGGGAAGTTGCTTTACCTTTGTAAGAAAACTTCCAGATCTGGAAGAGTCTTTGGGGGAAGCAACAGGAAATTAATATTGATAGTTCACTTGGGTGTGGTGACATGTGCCTTTAATCCCAGTACTAGGGAAGTTGAGGCAAGCAGTTCTTAGTGAATTGGAAGGCAGCCTGACCTACACAATGAGTTCTAGGCCAGCCAGGGCTACACAGTGAATTCCTGTCTCTGAAACAAACAAATCCAACAAGCACAAGAAAGTTGATAGTTTAAAAGCTGGGACAAATGAAATCTACTTCCAAAGCTGGTACAAATGACTCTAGGTGTCATGCTGAAAGGCCTCGTATTGTCCGGTGTGTGGCTCTGTGCCATTTATGTCCTTCATAATGTCCTAGTGTGTAGCCCTATCCAATCGATGTCCTTGATATTGCCCAGGTATGTAGTCCTGTGTAATCCACATCCTTCATACTCTTCTGGTGTGTGGCCCTGTGCAACGCATGTCCTTCTACAGAGTTGGCACATGACGAATACTGTCTGGAATTTGGAATTGGGAAGCCAAGTTCTGCTGTGACTCAAGAGGGTGACATAAGCAATGAAGAGGAAGCGGTATGGGTGGGGCTTTGCGATGTGTAAGGAGAGGAAGAAGGTAAGAATGACTCCTAGCTTTGACAGAAAATTGTAGGAAGATAATGCAACTGTAGGGAAAAAAAAATAAAGGCCAGAAAGTAATACTTGAAACATTGTCACCTGAATAATAATGGCATAAGGTCACAGTAGATAAGAAATTCACACCAAAGTCCGTGTAATAGTATCCAGATATGAAAGTTTTACAAGACGACAGACATAAATGAGCATAAAGAAACTATCACCGTTTAATTGTGGAACAGGACCAACAGTGTACAACAGCAGATCCAGTTAGACTCTAGAGAAAGCTATGTCTCCACGTTTCTCAAGTCATCCCTCAGAACAGGCCCCTCTGACCACTCGACATCCAGTAAGATCACCACAGCCCTCACTTAACCTCTGCAGAAGACAGTACCCTAATGCATGTGTGCCATCATCTCCCATTAGAATAAGAACCTAGGGATTGCAGAGCAGAACCAGAGACTGTTTTGCACCTATGTATTTTATTTGCTTTCCATCAGGACTCAAAACAGCCATAGCCCAGATTTTCCTGTGCAAAACTATGGAGTAGATCCTATTCCCTTTCAACTCGAGAGCCGCAAACAGTGGAGTTATGTAGGTGCCTTGTGCAAGGTGCCTAAGATGGCCTCACACTGGCCAGTGCCCTTTGGTCTCATGAAGACAAAGGACTGTGACCTCAACAGTCCAAGTCAGCAGTTGCAGCAGTTGCGTTGAAAGGTCTACGGTTGCCTTGGGGCTGACATCTTGTGTAGATTCGAATTCAATTCCTATTTTGCTTTAGAGTAGTCAGAGATGCAGACAGAGGGCAAAGCTGGGCGCCTTCTGTGGAGTGTCGTACCTTCTACTGTGCCACCCAAACTCAGCTCTTGCTAAGGCACGAGGACTGAAAGGAGGGCTGCTCGTGGGCGAGTGAGATAATGGCCACTTTCTTCCACGTCTTAAGTAATTTGTGTGGAATCTGTAGTTCCTTGTTAAATTGGCAGCTGTCAGGCAAGACTTATTTTCCTGGAAAAAAAAAAAGACAGGAGAGGATTTGGAGCTTCAGTTAATGCTTTCTACGAGGTGTATTTCTGTTTTCAATTGAATTCTTTTGGCATTTCATACCTTAATACTGTATTTGTACTATCTTTACCCTTCCCTCCTCCCATGTCCCACCTCCAACCCCCTCTCAAACTCATGCCTTTTTCTTCTGGAATTAGCATTCTTCTCATATATGTATCTGTGTATACATACATAGATACATGCACAGATTCATTCACTTAATGTGAATTTAATGAATTCACAGATACATTCATTTAATGTTCCTCAGTATGTACTTGTGTTTATGGGTGATGACCAGGAATTGGATAACCAACCATGAGACTCATTCCTGGAGAAAACTGGTCCTTCCTCGCTCAGAAGTCACTGATTGCCTACAGCTGCTTGACTGGAGGTGAGGCTTTGGAAATATCCCTGTCTATGTTGGCTTACAGACTGGTATTGCCAGGTCTTTATGCAGGCCTTGTTTAGACAGCCCTGTTATTGAACTCCCATGGGTACAGTGCCTCTGTCCTGTCTAGAAGACACTCTTTCGCAGCAGACATCCTGGCTCCTGAATCTTCTACTCTTTCCACCACTTCTTCCTTGATGTTTTCCGAACCTTAGGTCAAGAGTTGTATTGTATGTTATCCCAACTCACGCTAGGCATTCAACTGTTACTTTGTCCTGTATTTTTAGCAGTTGTAGTAGCCCTTAATTTTGCTGGAGGAAAGAAGCTTCTTTGTTGAGGGTGAGAGGTAACTTCTCTGAAAATCTCATAGTTTCGTTTTTAGCTGCCACTAAATAGAATTCCATTGAATCCGTGTACCACTTTTTCATTGTCCGTTGAGTGACATCTTGGCTGTTTTCCACTTCCTGGAGTGGCAGTGAACGTGGCCAAGCAAGTGTCTCTGTAGTAGGGTACTGGGTCTTTTGGACATGTATGTGCCAAGGAGTGGTATGGTGGGGTCTCTCGATCCATGTGCGTTTTGTTGCTTTTAAGTTGCTTTACTGGGTATTTTGTCACAGTCACAGAAGAGCAACTAACATGCCCACCACAGTGGACCCTCTAGAATGGAACGCCCCATAATCCGTGCAGTAAGAGGACGCAGCTCTCCTCAGTGAAGTGACATTTCAGTGAGACAGAAAGAGGTTTGTGTTTGTCATGTACGTCACCATAAGCTCCATGAGACTGAATTTACTTTACACTCCCTAGTTTAAATCATTAATTTAAGTGATTAATTTAATCACTGTGTTAAGAAAAGGGTTTTATAAGCACAATGGTTTAGGTCAATTTGAAACGTTAAAAATAATGCACTGTTTTTACCCACAATCTTGGAATATGATAACCCTCAAACTGTACCTTCTTGTAAAACCATTTTTAAAATGCGTTACCTTTGTGTAAGATACAAATCTAACTTTGCCAAGGTTTTCTTAAGGATATACCTCAAGAGGGAGTCAGCATAGGTCAAGATGGGTTGCGTTAAGTCGAGCTGGGATGATTAAGATTAAGGAAAAATCGCATATGCTAGCTACCATGGGAGGAAATTCAGGTTGAATTTTGCGCCAGTGAAGCAAAATCTAAGTCTCTTTTGTTTCTATGTCTCTAAATACATGGTCCATTGTGAAGAACGGCACTATGACCTTCGTGTTAATGCAGTGAGGCTAGTCATCTACCAAGTCTTAGCTTTCATTTGTTTTAACTTCCTAGCAACATTTCCAGGTCATCTCAGACTTCTAAAATTCATATGTCCTAATGCTAATGGCTTTACTCAGGTAAATATGTTAAAAAAACTATGCTCTTTCACATGTTTAGAAAGCGTGCTTAGTGGCCTACACAGAAAGTTCCTAGCTGGACACTGTCACAGCCCCCCAGATACTCCAGCTAGCAGATAAATGCCAAGTCTCTGACAATTGTCCCAATACTTCAGTCGCTTTTTTCCTTCTTTTTTGAGACAGGATCTCATGTAGTGTAAGCTGTCCTTGATCTCTCTGTGTGGCTAAGGGTGACCTTAAATTTCTGATCCTCCTATTTCTGTCTCCTGTGTAGTCAATTACAGGCATGCGCTGCCACACCCAATTCATGCTGTGTTGGGGATCGAACCCAGGGCTTCTTGCACACACACACACACAAGGCAAGCACAATCAATACCAGTAAGCCTTGCCCTTAGTTTAGTCCGCCTTTAAACAAACAAACACAAAAACATAATCTAGCCGACTTCAGAAGAAAACGAACTCAGTAACATTTTTTTTTCTTCCTCTTTCAGGAACTTTTCAAAGAAAGATTAACTGTGGAACATACTGTTTTATTTAACTGTGGCCGTACTTGATTTCCATACATGATTCATTTCTACTCCAAATTTCCTCACATATTATTACCAGTAACTTTCTTGAGATATTACAGGCTCTCAAAACACAATCTGGCTCCGTTTATTATTTTTTCTGGGAGAATATTCATGCAATAATCAGTTTGTTTCTAGGAGAATGATGCCTGAAAATCAGTTCTTCTTTATGCTCCTAAGGAACGTGCCAGATGATTGTCGTTCCTAATGCAAAGCCTGGCGTTTGTTATCTTGCTGGACTGGGAGACGTTAGTCCTCTTTCTCGCATGGAGGTCTGACAACGTACCGCAGAAATGGATAGCGTGGCTTTTCAGAATTAGAAGTATCTGGGTTTACTTCGAAAATTTCCCAGGCTTTTTACCCTTGTTTATTGGTTTGAATGGAGAAATCTGATCTTTGGGCTTCGTGTCTTATCCTCTGGCACTGGAGAAGTGAGTCTGTGATCCTTGTTTACTCAAAGCACACTATCGGCCTGATATTTGTCCCTTCGTAAACAGATCTTATGTCAAGCCTTAGCCTTTTTCATTCAGCTTCCTCTCAGTTCAGCCCAAGTCTCCTTCATGTCGGGAGACACCAGAATTTCTCACTTCCTTAAGCCATCAATGCCTCAGAGAACAACGACACTTGCCGGTGAGCCTGTTGGCCCGAGTTTATTGTTGCCTTGTGACTCCACATGCGTGCATACACACACAGAGACACACACACCTACATACACATCATAAAAAAGCTAAACAAGCAACCATATAAATAAATATATAATATTCTCCTTAAGGTCTCCCACACACAGGTCAGCACACTCCATACTTCTACCAGCCTTCTATCCCACCTTTTGAAAATCAGGACATTTAATGAAATTCCTCCTAACATTAAGAAAGTGGTGTTATTAGCGTATGTATCATCCATAAATGTGTGTTTGATTATATAAATTTTGTATATGCATGCAATGTAGTTTTATGGTGTTTGTCCCCATTGACCTTTCTAGTCCCGCTTCAGACAGTCTTCTTATCAAACTGTCTCGTTCTACTTTGACGTCTTTTTTTGGAGACCATAAACTAGTAGGTTTCACTGAGGTCACTTACAGGAACATGGATACAGGGGTATTTACAGGTGCACCGGTCATTTACCAGTGGCTACACCAGCAACCATTAGCTCCCTAAAAACCCTCAGAGAGGGGTGTGGCTTTGTGAGCCCCACAATAGAATGCCGATGGGCCCACGTTTGTGAAGCCTTGGGAAGGTAATCATAACCAAAGCACTTAAATATCTCTGATGTATCTAAACATCATGTTACAAACAACAGACATGATCCACAGTCTCAAAATTTGTCTCCAAGAATCACGTTCGCTTTGGTGGCCCTCGTATCCAACTTTAAGCTATCTCAACATCTTCTTTCTGTAACGGTAAAAATATCTAATATCCTTGTTTTCTCCTCCCTTTTGATTTTGGCCAGGTATTTCCCTGTAACTTCAACCTCTATTTTTTTTTTACAATTTTCCACAAAATTATTTTAAATGACCAAATAAGAATTTTCTCAACTTTTCTCAATATCTCCCCAATGTAAGGAATTGCCTATTCATGTTTAATATCCTATCCATTTTACAATTCTCTGACCCTCTGATACCATCATCCTAAGTTTCTTTGAAACTGGAGTGTTGAAATACATATTTCTTCTAGTTTAGAATTCTTAGGTAATAAATACTTACCTGAAGGGCTGGGTCAGTAGCTTTTAAATCACATTACTCCCACCTTGAAAGCCAGGTCATATTTAAAGAGATACAAATAGAGGCAAAAATGGTTGAAAAGTCATTCCTTGGACACCATATTTTTGTTGATATCTGTTTTAAAAGTCATACTTGAGAATATATTATTTTAGTTTGTAACTTAAGGTGTTATATAGGTAAATTAACAAAAATAGCTTGTTATCCTTTGCCCGTGTACGTTCAGAGAAGTTGCTATTCCTGGGAAATAAGAGGGTGGCTTATCTTATTGTAGCCTGCATTTTTCTCCCTAATGGGTATAAATCATTAGGCATAAATCGTGTCTGTCATTGAAACCAGTAATTGGTGACATTTTCTTGTCACTATGGGATTATAAATAACAGCGATATATATCCTGTCAACAGATTCATTATGTTTTGAAAAACATAAACCTGTAGTCTGTTTCTTTTAACTGTATTTTGCATATTTTTCATATTAAGTATGACACTGACATCTTCAGATTTTTTTGAAATAATTTTGACAGGAGTTTGGGTTATTAATAACTCCTAATTATTTTATTATGCATTAAATGCATTTTGTTTATATTTCTGCCGTGGTTTACCTTCTTCCCAATGCATGTTGTTTGCAAGCAGATGTTT